TTGGAATTTTGCCATTTTTGGTAAAATTCGAATTTTTGCTATAAAATCCGACTTGTTGACTTATTTTGATCATTGCGTTATATAANCCATTGTGAACATATAAGAAAACAAATATATTTTTTAAAAAATTAAATTTAAATTTAAGAGGGTAAACATAATTAATATAATGAAATTAATGATGCATAACGAAGTTTCAATTTTATTTTTTTTGGCGAAAAATAATAATATAATTTAAATTGAATTTCTAAAACGAAAGGAAATATTAGAAAGTAAACTAATCTATATTTTTCATTACATCACCCCAATCAAATGTCAATTTCCATTTGGATCAGTAAAGAAATTAGAGACATCCAAATGAGTCACATCAATTGGACCATCATAATCAGAAAAATTTGTCTCCACATTTTTCCTTTCCCTTGATTGATTTTTGATAGAGGTCTACATGGTGTTTTGCCGTACAATAGGTACATGCTCAATGCCCTTTCATTCCACTTCTAAAACAATTTTCCTCATACTCCTTTTTGGATATGCTACTTTCGTTTGTTTTATAACTTTTGAAATTATTGTCTTCTTACTGATAGTTTTGTTGATTATTTCGTTCATGATTTACTCCACGTACATATCCGCGTCAACGTCCTTATATTGATATTGTATTTGTTTCAGGTAATGCAGTACAATTTGCTTCAGGCAATGATACAGAACCAGTTAGATGTAACTTATGATTTTACATCAGCAATTCTTTATTTTGTTTAGCCACAAGCAGACAAGATATGAGTTCTAGTACCTTTTAAACACCACACTCACTATATTGCTACTGCAGGAGCACATTCGAGATGTGAAAGGTGGAAAAAATTTTCTCCAATATATCTTCATCAGCAATTTTTCTCCACACAATGTCAATTTTGGAATAAGTTTTCTCTAACATATCTTCATCAATGTTTTTTTTTTCCACTCAATGTCAATTTTAAACATATTCTGAATAATTCAGAATTGTATTCACTAATAGTTTTGAAATCTTACAAACGAAGATGCGTCCACTCATAGCGGGCTTTGAGAAGGACTATAATCCTCTGATGATCAAATCTTTCAGTTTATTTTTTTCAAAGAACATGTGGATCTTACTCGGTGAGACATTAAATTTTCAATCCATTGTAAAGATAATGACAAAGGAAGATGAGTGCGTTTGCACGATTCTACATGGATTCTTTGTTTCCCTCTTTTATTGTCTCTCCCAAATCGTTTGAGACAAGATGGATAACAGTATCAAGTACTCATGACAAATAGTTTTTACCGATATGCCCAGTGAGGCAAACTCAAGTTTTGTGATATTTGTCATTTGATTAACTACCCAATAAAGCATAAAGAAATACAAGTAATTTCGAATAATGTAATTAAACATCAAGTAGTCAATATCAACATGACATAAGCTACGTATTTTCCTTAGGGATGAACACTAATTTAAAATAATATGTTATTCGAAACATGTACTACTTCGAGAGCACGTTGTATTTTACTATTTCTCCTTCAAGGGCAGTATATCAATATTCTTCTTGAATATTGAAAATTATAATTCATGCTCTTCATGAACAAGTAATATTCTTCTAGAATATTAATTGTAGTGTTGTACTACTTTAGGATCAATAACGTGATAAATTATCAATTTAAAATTAAAGTATATCAAAAATATTTAATCAAGTTAAAAATATTAATTTCCGTAAAGACATGATATAAATTTATTAATTATCAAATATGTATTAGAAAAGGGAAATTTCAAACTTGAATTGATTTTGGCAAACCTAAAGGCAGTACAGGAAAACGGCATGCAAACTCAGTAATGCATGAATCAAAATTGTGTATACATTAAACAGGAAAACGTAATGATTGCATTCTTGGGTGCAGTGAATTATTAAACTATTTAATCATTATGCGTGAATTAAAGGCTGTAAAAGACAACGTAATAATTGTGGCACAAATTGAAGGTGGCAGAATTAATCCATATATAAAAATCGGCAGAATAGATACAAACTAAAAATAGGCAGAATTGTTACAAACTAATTGTAAAAATCACATGTCACCAAATTGATTTTGATACACGTGAAAAAAATTACTATCTTCACTAAATTTTGAAAAATTAAGCTTTCGTGCTGATAATGTATTGTGAAAAGAGAGAAAACGAGAAGAAAGAATAAAAGTTAACAGACTTGTATGTGTTATAATGAGATTAAAGCCCTATATTTATAGGACAAGATTAGAGACATAATATTAATAATTTTTATGACTGAAGAGGTACAATTGTCATTCACTAATAAACTTATCATTCATAATAATTTTAATGGTCATCAAGCGGGAGTTTAGCTAAAAGTAACTTTTTACATTTTTAGGCAAACATGCTTTTTCAATAGTACGAGCAAATAATTGCAAAAGTGTAATGATGATAAGTTTTGGATGGTAAATGAAGAGATTTGGCCTACCATTAAATCAAGAACCGAAAGCATATGCAAACTTGCAACACGTGCCTACAAAAGCTAGGGTTGAATTCCAATGTTCATATCTTCTTTGTACAATAAATAAGTTTATTTTCTTCCTAAATTGGCATTACTTGATTAAGATTTATGTTAACTATAACTCATATTGGTACAGTGTTAAGTACACGATAGATCTCATGTTCTCTTAGATTTCTTATTTATTTAATCGAATACATATTCCCAAATACACTTTGGCATGTTGAATGGAGAGTATTAAAGGATTAAAGAAGAAAACTAACGAAGTTTTTATTTAATTTACTACATTGTATTATCCGTTACTATAAGCCAAACATCCCATAAGAAAACATTTTGTATGCATTATTAGGTAGGAATGAACATTTTTGTTGACATCCGACATCCGACCTAATTAAGCTTGTTTGTTATATGCAATTAGCTCTTGCTAAATTAATGTCGGATCTGCAAAGTCAGCTCGTACTTATGACTGTCGTGATTTGAGGGGAAATAATGATTGTAGATTCCTTACACACTGTCAAAACATTCAATCAATTCATGATATTTGAAAGGACTTACGTCAACGCCTGCCAATTCCACCAATCATATGCTATAGATTTATTCTCTAATCAGTTCATTAATTATGTAGGACCCCATTTAAGATGGCTTCATGATAACCTGATGGAGCTGACATCAACAATCAATCAGGACTTAAGTCATTGACACAAGTTCCCAACTCGGTACTATTGTTAATAAGACGTGAATATGAAAGATACAGATTCATCCTTTCCTATAAAAAGGAGGACAGTATCCTTAGGGGAAAGGAGGGAGGAAGCCTAACAACTTCATATTTCAAATATCTCATTTAATAAAAACACTTGTATTTTGTAAGTAATTATCAATAAAAATCATTATTTACACTTGAAGTTGGCTTAAATTTTGTTTATACAGTTTTCAACGCCAACAATTTTAATAAATAAATATTAACTTCTTCTATAATATTATCTATAGCCATCTCATCTATCTTACGAAACATATCTTATCAAGGTATATGTCATGTGTGACATTGTACAATATAAAATATGATTAAAATATAAAAATAAGCAATATATGTTTGTTTATTGTTATACTCAAAGGTATAATATATAAATAATGTTAAATGTACATTCATTTCTTTACATTGATTTCGATATTGACTTTGTTTTTTGAAAATTGTGGGTGAGAAAATTGTTTTCTCTTTTTTAAATTGTCCAATGGTGTTTTGTCATCTAACACAATATAAAAGATGATGTATACGTAGCATGATTGCAATTATATATATTACTTATTCCTTAGTTTGTTATTTTAAAATTATTAATAAGAATGGCCTTACAAATAGTAAAAAAGAAAAGAAAAGAAATCACCCACCAAAAAGGAATTCAAGAAATACAACAACACTAAGAGCCGGGGGCCTGATCTTTATGCTGCCTTCTCCATCTTAGTTTATTAGAGCATAGAAACTCATGATACATTTATTTTACATTCAATCCAGTCTAAAATATCGTCCTCAAGTGCGTAAATTCTCTACTGAGTACTTTATTTTATAGTTTAATATATTTAAAAATTAGTAAAATAATATTTATTTAAATACTAACGTTTGTTGCGCGTAAAAAATGAGCAATCGAAGATAACACCCACATAAAAGAAACCATATAAGGACACGAATATGTCGGGTAGAACGTGATCCTTCACTGCCCTAATTATTTCGTATACATTCTTGACCAGAATTTACGAATTTTTATTTTATGGAAGAACTGCAGAAAGGTCACATCACACTTTGTGCACGTGCAGTTGAGATGTGTTTGTGGCCACTTATAATTTTGTAAAAAATTATTAAGAATGTTAAACCTACTTCTCCAACACATTGTGTGTTTGGGAGGGGATAATTTGGAGTGAAAAATATTTTTTTTTAAAAATGTGTGGTCAAAAAGTATGAACAAATTATGGGTTCATGTTAGAACAATGTATAGTTAAAAATAAACTTGAGTAAAAATGATTTTCAAGTAAACTCCGCCAAACAAAACGCTAAAGTTATCAAAGATGGGTAGAGAAAACTTTACACCCTTGACTTGCGAATCAGGTTCACTTTCCCGACAGAAGTCAAACGTAATAAAACTTCATAAATAGATGACGACGAATTAGATTCACGCAATCGCAAACGAATTTTCATCTCACAACCGAAAAGTTACGTAGGTTTGAAAGATCAATTTAATAGCATTGAATTGACTGAGCGATAGAGTCGAGAAAAAGAAAATAACTCAATGAATAGATTATCATAATTTAGAGGTTGCTGCACTTCTCTTTTAAATTAATGCTAGGGAAAGTAACAACTAGTGTTGAAAAAACAGTCAATGTTCCCAACTACTGTATGCAAGTTTTGTCTTCTTTGAAACTGATACTACTGACCATGATAGTCATAATTAGAAAAAAGGGTCAGAAGCAAAACCATTTGAATTTTTTTATTTTTTATTTTTACCTATTTATTCAGTGCAACACACTCTCTATTATAACTCCTCGTACTCGTCCTAGATTTCCCAAATCCAGAATAGAAAGGCCCTGAAATCCAAACCCTCCAACAACATATCCACTATCAACCTGTGGCTTCCAGAAAGCAGCTGGTTCAGGTGATAATAGCTCATGGCTGGTAGTGATGAAAACGGCGGAACCCGGGCGGAGATGGCGGTGGCAGCAGCAGAGGGTTCTGGGAAATCGTTCAGCAAGAAATGCAGTCATGTGGCAAAGAAGCAGCGGGCCAAGTTCTACATTCTCCGGCGTTGCATAGCTATGCTTGTGTGTTGGCATGAACGGAATGACACCTGAGTGGCAACGCAACCTTTGTTTATTTCAAAAGATATACTGATATAGCCATTCCTAGTGAGAGACGGTGTATTTGTATTTATTTATAGAGAATATTTATATTTTTAGATATATATGTTTAATGAATACCGTAAAAACTGATCCTTAAGGATCCGTTTGATTGATTTAAATTTCATGAAAAATGTCACATCAGGGAAATTCAATTTCTACTTTGGCTGTTTGATACGAAAGTGGAAATGAAGTTCGAATTTTAAGGTACAATCACTTTAAACTTATTTTTTGTCAATTTCATGGAAAATGCATTCACACGGGTTACTTGAGTTTATATTTTCCAACTTACGTGAAATTGGAAAGTCTTTTCACTTTTGCCAATCAAACGGATCCTAACTATTAGGCGAAATTTCTCTTGGTAAATTTAATTGTATTCTGGGATTTTCGAGCTCGAGATTTTGCTTTGGATCAATGCGTTTCCATGACTTCAATTCGAGTCAAGGTATGTTTAAATTTTATTATATTTTCTGATTTCCTAATTAAAAGATGAGAGTATTCCTTCTTCTAGATTAATTACAGATTTATTAGATTTTTTTGTATAACTTATAATTTATTTGTTCGATTGTATCGATTTAAGATGGAATCAATTTGCATATAGGGTAGGATCATCCTCTCGGTTTGTCGAAGCTATTTTTTCAAGGTTCGTACATGCGTGTTTCCTTTTGTTGCTGAATATTTTGGTATGGCACATAAATGCAGAATATGTTTCTTTATTTATTTGGCCTATGTTTGATATAAATTAAAATCTGAATTTTTATCACAGTCAAACTTTTTATCAACTTTTATCAAAATATGCTAAAAATATGATTTTAATCTCTATCGAATAAGAATTTGTTTGTTTTGGCATGTTGACGTGTTAAGAACTTTTTTTTAGCCCCTGTTTGGTTTGAATTAATCCAATTAAAATTTCAAGTCAAAGTCAACAATTAATTTTAATCACACATTTATAGGACCCACAACCTTTTAACCATATATTTTATCAATTTTTATCAAAATTTACTAAAAATCTAATTTTAATTTTTACCAAACGGATGAAAACACACAACATGATAATGTGTACTTTATGAATGCATTGATTTGACTTTTGTGGTTAAGGAAAAACAAAAATATGGCCCGTGTGACGTGGATTAAAATTAAATTTCAAAAAAAATAATAATAAAATATGTGGTTAATAAATTATGGATTATATTATTTATTTATAAACATTATTATTAAGTTTCAAACCAAAAACTAGCATATATAAATATTGTCAATAATTATTATTTTTTTAATATAAAATCACTTTACTAGGTAATATTAGTTATAAGAAAAAAAAAATGCTACATCCAGGAGGAGGACATATCTAACTTCAAGGAAAAGAAAAGTAAATTCATGAAATTCATGAGGACGCATCCCCAATGTAGTCGTCGTAGATCTGATCTTCGTACACCTTGTGCGATTCTGGTCATAATAATCGACATACTCAAGAACACAAGCAGAGGAGGAGGACTTGTGTTCCACCAGATGACAAGTGTAAAGGCGGGGCACGTGTCGCATCCAGCTGAATATGTAAACATATTCTTACGCACGTTGAGCTACAGACTCGTTCCGTTAACCATCGAGATTGTCGTGAGAAGTTTTCTATTTGTGTGATAAGTTTATGCTTATTTTCTTTTCTTTTGCTTGGAATAGAATTACGAAACAAGAATGCAAAAGAACCCGTGCTTTTAAGTATCCTACGGTTCTCCACATATTAACTCCAAATCTAAAAAAGAGAGAGCATCTTGTATTCATCCCAACACAACACAATAACTGTTCATGTCTTGTCATTTCAGACAATGTGGTCAATATTAAGGTTATGCTGCTAAATGCTAAACATGGCCAAGAGCCATTCTTGAATTATTATCATGGACCGCTCTATAATTTTAAGCTCTTTTAATAATGTATTTGTAACCTTAATTCCCATCATTCTTACCCTATGTTTCTTCGTGTGCAACAGAAAATTAAGTGTTTCTCATAGGAAAATGATTTATACTTTGTCAAATTTTACTTCATATTACGATCACAGCTTTGCTAGCACGAATTTTGAGCCGAAACTCCATCATCAGTTCAAATTGCAAACTTCAGTTTTTTATGTTGAAGTATAAATCACTAGTAATCGTCGGTCTATTGAAATTTATTTCACTCTCGTTGTTAATTGATTTGTACTTCAATTTGATAAGACTTTATGTATTTAGCCTCTATTTGGTGGGAAATTAAAATTATATTTTCAGTAAATTTTGATAAAATATGTAGTTAAAATTAATTGTTAATTTTGATTTTCAAACAGGTTTTTCCCCACCTCACCCCACCCCACCGACCATGCCCTATCCCACTCCCCACGCCCGTCGCCTCCTCTCTTTTTCGATCCATTAATTATTCCTGACCCATTAGTCGCGCATGGGGTAATGTCGAGAGAGGACATTATTTTTAAAAATGACAAAATGTACAGTCCCATTATGCTCCGCGAAGAATTGGAATAGGCATGGGACGCGTTTCCTTTCCTGTTGAGTCGACTTTGAAAACACTTGAATTGTAATAAAGTCGGAACGTAGGATGTGTAGTCTTCCGACAAGGAGAATCCTTTGAGAGCTTGTACAAAATACTTGGCTCCTTTGCAGTGTCTTTTTCTGTGCTCCCCACACGTGCTCTCCATCTTTAATTTTTGTACTATTTGGGCCCAAAAAATTTGACTTGCTAGCGTATGCCCTCGGCCATTTGCAAATTCTGGTGAACTAAATATCTGACTGTCATTTGAACACTGCTACTTTCTACATTATACTATTATTGGGTAGAATTTTATTATACCGTTGGCTTTTTCATCTTGTCAGTTTTCCCAATCTTATAGTTGCAGTGAAATAGTCATCGACGGATTCAGAATCGAATTACAAGTCGAATTAATATGTACATAAATTTTTTTTCTAACTAAAAACAAATCTGTTGGGTGGGTGGGGGGGGCTGCAGCCCGGCCCAGGCCCCCTCCATCCGTCCCTAGAAATAGTAGTAAAAATATTAGGGTTCGTTTGATCGCAAATGTGAAAAATGGGTGGAAAGAAAATGAATTTTAGGGAATTGAATTGTTTAGAAATTATTTTATTGAGAATTGTAATTAATTGTGTTTGATTGGTATAATTTTTCCCCTGAAAATATTGAAATATTGGTGTCCGTTTGGCTTTGTTTTTTATGAAAATTGTCCATTAAAATGACAATTTCTTTTATCATTGGGTTTAGAATTTGTTTCACTTGCAAAAAAATATATATATATATATCATACCGAATATCATTTGTTTGGCTTTATTTTCTATGAAAATTGTCAATAAAAGTGATAAATTATTTTAACATTGGATCTAGAATTTTTCACAATTACCTAAAAAAAAAATGGAAAATGAAAACCACCTAAAAGGTGGGAAAACAATTTCAACAAAAAGGTCAAAAAATGTGCACGTGTGAGAGAAAGTGAAAACATTTTCCATGAAAAAATTTTCCTATCAAACACTACAAAATTTGGAAAATGAAAAAAATTCATGAAAAATATCGTGTATCAAACGGAGTCTTAGGGTAAAATCTACTCCAATCTTTCGTAAGTGTGACACCTATATTTCAAATTTACTATTTATTTTGCTTCTCCGATCTCTTAAAATCGTTGTACACATGCCCTCTCACTAAAGAAAAATATTTACCGAAATGTTAAATAATCGCGTGACACTCATGTGATGTCGGACTAAAAAGGGTACAAAGATTTTTTTTTTTTATTCCAAAAAAAATCTAAATGGTTAATTTAACTTTTATTTAACAATTAATACATGCTAAAATTATCCTCTTACTTCAATTAATCACCGACATCAGTGAATGTCATGTGGTAATTTAACTTTCATATAAATATACTTTGTTACCTTCGGAGATGGATGACATAATTTTAAATTTTTTTTTTTTTTTACCATCAGCATATTTTATCATTTAGATCGAAAATACTATTTGTATGCGGGGAGGGTGGATTACAAGTAGTTTTTAGATATGTGTGAAATTTAGTTCCTGTTTGTTTTAGCTAAGAATTAGATTTTTAATAAATTTTGATAAAATGTGCAGTTGAAATAAATTTCAGAAAAATATTACCAAGAATTATTAAATATATTTTTAACAGTAATCTTAAACTCGTTGTTTTGAACTCGTCCTATAACAATTCAATTCGAAAGATGCTTTGCAAACTTTACCATGAATACTTCGACAAGGTACTAAGAACTTACCTCGACTAGTGACAATTATAGTCCAACAATTAAAAAGAGGAGGTAAAAATGAAAAATAAAAATAAAAATAAAAAATAGATTATTAAATTCAATTTTAATAACCATCTTTAATTTATTATTTTATACTTGTCCATTAACAATTTTTCTATTCAAAATATGGATTTCAAAGAAATCAAGCTCCTCGAAAAAATTCTGTCTCCATCACTGATCTAATACGCCAACCAAACTTCACTAGTTGAACAAGACAAAAGAATTAAAAAGCAAGAGAAAGAATAGTCCCGGTTTGTCGATAATTATTTCAATTCTTTTTTCTCAAACTCATTTTTAATCACGCATTTTCACAATAAAATACTTTATAATTAAATTAAATTTTTTTTTTTTTACTTTTAATAAATATTATTCAAAAATTCAATATTCCAAAAAATATGTTTTTTTTCCATAAGTTGAAATAATTAACATTGTACAGAAACATTGAGGCGGCCAGCTAAGAAGAAATTATGAATTTTGGTAAACGCTTGCAGAGTAGTAGGAACCAAGTGAAAATGTGAACACGTGCATTTCTGACAGTATATTTATAGGCTTTTGCCAGCTTTTTCAATACTCCCACGTGGAAACGCGCGTGTGGGGACACTCAAACCAGGAAAATGGACTTGGAAAGTAGAAAGGAGGAAA